AAAAAAAAAAAAAAAAAAAAAAAAAAATGTTTTTTAAAAAAAATGCATTTTTTGGGCATTTTTCACAATTTGTTTATAAAATGTACGACAATTCATGCGATTAACAAGAGACATTTGGCACACTGTCGACGATTTTTAAATATTAAAATTTTTTTAAAGTTTTTAAAATTTAAATATAATTTTTTTGTTAACAATTTATTAAATGTTTAACTTTAATAGGTAAGGATTGAAAATTTAAAACAAAATTCCATGTAAGTTTATTTTGTAACCAAAATATGGTGATTGATATCTTATATATATTGTATATTGTATTTTTATTATTTTTATTATTTTTATTTTTAATTTATGTGGCAACGTCGCATTAAAGTTAGCAGGTAAGAAACTAAGAAGTTCTCAATTTATTATGTTCTACCCAGTAAGTATTAACTCTATGGCAGGTACCTCCTACTGATGATATCATTTTTGGGAATTCTGTTTTTAAACATAAAGAAGATAAAATTGTTTTTAAATATTCATAAATTGAATAAACTAATAAAAATGTTAGCAATTTTGAGGTGCATATTATATATCATTACAACGGATGTCAACGTAAATAAACATCAATTTTTCATTTCAATTTCACCGTCATGTTATCGTCTTACGTTGAAAATAAATTTTTATATTTACCTGATACAGTAAAAACTGCGAAAACCCCGATTGAAATAACTAAAGATGTCTTCATTTCTTCAGTTGGATTTGTATGTAGCTACCTAATTATGTGCTACATCAAGAATATTAAGTACGGATAGTTGCTCGTTAAATCAAACGTATAGAGCTCAACTTCAAATTAAATGTTATGCACAATATATGCTGTAAGTCAGTATTATTCATTCCAATAATCCTATATAATTATTAATCGATTGAACCATACTAATTATTTAATTACTGTTTTAGTTTCAACTGTATCGTTTATAAAATATCGTATATTTATCTTTTTACATATTAACTCTACAAATTCAAGGGCGTAGCTAGAAATTTTATCGTGGGAGGGGGGGGGCAACCTGCAAGTGTTTTCAAATTTTTACCTCAATTTAAAATTTTGTTGAACATTAATATATTTGTTAGCTATCTCCTGGGGGGATAACCTCCGGCCCACCAACGTTCATGTCCTTGTATACAGTTATTAAACAATAATTCTTCGAAGATAATTATGTAATTAACAGTATCTGTTTGTACTATTAACTTACTTAAGTGTTTTAACATTTTTAATAAATGTTTAATGTATGACAAATGACTGTGTGTACCTACCTACCAATATTCTGCATAGTATTTTATGATTATCAATATTATTTTTGAATAAAATAGTAACGATTACCTATAGACTTGGTAGATACTTATTATTTATACATTATATTCAACCATTTAATTTTTGGTGATTTGACATTTTTGTTGAAATCATGTCATGAAAAAATGGAGGGTTAGGTATATATATAAATATTATAGAGTATAGACGGTGGCTTTACTGATTAATACATTTTTTTGGGGGGGGGGGGGGAGGGATTATTTGTTCACCAAAATAGAAACCTTAAGTCCATAACCTAATTGTTTGCACACAATTATTAAAACACTAATTTAAATGGCTTCAAAACAAATCGTATAGGTACCTACACTTATAGGTAGGTAGTAGATACCTACTCATGTAGTCATGTCTCATACCGTTTAATAATATTAAGTTCATGAAAAAAAGGTGGTATAAGCCTATGACATTCTTAAAAACAAATAATGTAATGAAAAATGATAACGCTGATTCTCGTAATCATAATTTATGAAATAAAATAATAATTGGGTTATTTTTGTAGTCCAGATGATAATGCAATAACGTTGACATTACGTCAACACTCAACACAGTAATGTAGAACAGGCGAAATGTGAAATAATTATAATATTCTTATTATGCAATTATTTGAGGTAAGCAATATTTTTATATTTTATCTTATTCAATTTTAACATAGGTAGTTAATGTATTTACTCATTATTTTAGAAGATTTAAAGACTTGAACTGTTGGTACTTGGTACTCGGTGCCTCGGTATATCTGTGCATGGGACATTTGTGAATCGCTATTGTTATAAATAACCATTTTATAGTCAATAGGCTTTTAGTGCAGAACTATTATTATAATAAATGAAAAAATTATTAGTACTGACTTAGATCCTGTAGTCGCTTTCCGTTGCTATATTAACAAAATTAGACACAGTTGCCCAGGGTGTTTGTGACTTGTGAGTTGCCTATCCATTAGAGACGGTGACCAAGAGTGAATTTTTGTTTCATTTAAACGTTATTTTTAACGAAATACGAAATGTAAAAGCAAAGTGATCGAGCGATGTCAGAAGCGGAAAAAATAACGCATCGTTTGGTGTGCGGATTATGGAATATGGTACTATTGGTACTTGTATCTCATTATCATTTAGTTATTATTTATCATAATAATAAGCAGGTAATATTGGTACTAATAAGAAAACTATATTATAATAAGTACGAATTAAAAAAATGAAATTGCAGTTGGTATTCTTCTTTTTATGGTGACAATTTGGTTTTCATATTTACGCCATTGTTTTTCTGTAGGTTTAATTTCATAGCACGCACGCAACATCTACCAATGGTACTGGACCACAAATTAAAAAATATATATTATATTTGAAAACTTGTAAGAGCATGTGATATAACTCATGACCACGATGTAGGTAAAATGTTTACCTACATCGTGCTCATGACACATACAATAAATTTATTGCAGTATATAGTACCGACTTAGAATCAGTAATAAGTTATTAATAATCAGGATAAATAACCAATAAGGATACATTCTTTAAAAACATTTAACGATTTAACAATGCACTAAACTTTTTTTTACACAAAGTATATAATAATTATTTATTTAATTCAATCCATACCATACACCTAATTTTTATAAGAATATTATGATAACTAAAACAATAATCTAAATTAAAATAAGTAAAATAAAATAATATTATAAATTTAAATACCGAAAAAAAAATTAATTCCATAATAGTAAATATTTTTACAAAATAAGGTGCACTTTTCTTAAAAATATAAGTTATAAATTACTTAATACACTTAATAAACCTAAGTAATTAATAAAAACAGGAAACTGACATAGTTTACTAATAATTGTAACATAAAGGAAATAATAAAATAATGTTTACTTAAAACTGATAATATTTTTAACTTTTATCTTTCTAACGTAAATTTAAACAATAATTATAAAAATATAGTCGGACCTTTGATAAATGAGTTGTAACAACCAAATGAAAGTGGACGTATATAATAAGCAATTAGATGATTGGATTCTAAACTACGCCTTAGCCAATTTTAACACATGTTCAATAACTTCTTCAATTGTTTGGTTGGTAAGTAAAGTTTGAATAGCTGAATCATCAATAATAATGGAAAATAATTGTTTTGAATTATCCCTTAGTCTAGTCATGTATGAAGCATCTTCAGCGGCTACAGGAGTGTCACCACATCTCCTAAAATAAAATAATAACAGTTAGGTGATCGAAAGTGAATAAAGTTAAGCCTATTTATTTAACAGAATTATTATTAAGATAGTTTATAAGATCTTTAGAGGTGTAATTTTGAAAATTATGCTATAAAGAGAATAATACTCATTAATACAAAACTTATAATAGTGGTGTATAAAAAGATAACATTTATTTAACTAAATTAGATCTCTAAGAATTTAAAATTAATTGCTAGATGTTAACTGAATATGTTTGTGTAAAAATTTAAAATTAACATACTTTATCACAGATTCAATCAAATGATCAACTGTTGTTTTTGGCCAGCCAAACTCTTTAAGTGTACTTTCATCTATTAACACGGTTAGCAATTCCATTAGTGATTCTGCCAAAGTATTGTTTTGATTGGATTCTTCACTTGTAGTTGACCCATTATCTTCTAATTCATCAATACTTTCATCGTCGTCTTCTTTATCATTGTCAATTTCATCCGAATCATTTTGGTTATTTTTATTTTTCTTCACTACTCCCAAAAGCTGAGCTTCTAGTTTTTTCTTTTCGGCATCAGCCATTATTTCAGCTAACATATCTCTATGCTTGGAACGCATATGACGTAATAAACAATCCTGACGGATAAATGCACGACCACATTCATCACATGCCCGTGGAGGCTCTTTTGTATGAGTTAATAAGTGAATTTTTAATGAAGACTTCATTGCAAATCGTTTCTCACAAATAGGACATGCATGAGCTTTAACACCAGAATGAACAATGTGATGTCTCTGTACATCTTCTTTTCGCAGTAATGCTTTGTTGCATACAGTACACATAAATGGTTCAGCTCCTTCATGTACATATCTAGTATGGAGTGTTAACCGCGAACGACGATTAAAAGATTTGCCACAAATATCACATGTAAAACCATTTTCACCTAAAATATTTTTAATGATTATAGCTTAAAAATTCAATAGCCAATTTTGAATTTATATACCTGTGTGGTGGAATAAATGAGCACGCAATTGTGAAATTTGTATAAAGGTCTTTCCACAGAATTCACATGAATGTGGTTTCAGAGCGGTATGTGTTTTGATATGACGATTTAAAGTTTCCTTTGCCGCAAATTTAGCAAAACACTAAAACAATTTCAAAATTAAAAAAATCCCCTATACAATTAATATTTGAATAAAAAACTTACTTGTTGACATTCATATGGACGTTCACCAGTGTGAATTCTACGATGTTTTTTCATGGCTCCACTGGATGGAAAACGTTTAGGACATAAATCACATTGATATGGTCTGTAACCTATATACAAAATAAAACATATATTTTAATCATAAAAATATGATATCTTTTATTTGTCACACACCAGACACTGATAAACAATTACCTTTAATTGCAATCCTACAGTATTGATGTTAGCATAAACATATACAGAAAATAAGAAATGTAGGTAATATATAGAATTATTTAAAGTATTTAAATTTACCTAAATGACTCCTTCTATGAACAGTTAATAATGCAGAGCCAACAAATTCTTTATTACAATATTCACAATTATAAGTACGCTTCTTTTTAGTTTGACCAGCATGAGCTCGTAAATGTTCTCTTAGATTATCTTTTCGGTTAAAAACTTTTCCACAAACCTTAATTCAATTCATTATAAGTTATATTATTCACTATGTATAAATAAATTAAATTTACTTGACATGGAAATTTGGGTTTTTCTGAACCATCGCAACCAGTTTGCATATTATGACGTACAAGATGATATTTCCTACTAAATGATGTAAAGCAAACAGGACACGAATAAGGTTTTAAAGTTCCTAAAAACAATTGATAAATTAATAATTCATTAATATAAAATTTAAAATTAATAATTATTTACCTGCATGAGAATACAAATGTTGAGATAATGTTTCTTTATCTTTACAACTGAATTCACAAGTGGGACAGTTTAAAATGTCATCATAGCAATGTACCATTAACTGATGGCGCTCCATATTAACTTTTAATTTGAAAAAGTTTCCACAATCATAACATTCAAAATCACCAATCTAAAATACAGTCGTTTTTACTATCATAAAAAAATAATTGTTATGCTTGCAAACCGTATGAGCAGTAGCTAAATCTTCACCACAACAGTCACAATTATTAATTTCTTTTTTCATGGAATCATCATTCGAAACTAAAATTATGAAGACAAATATTTTTAAAACAACTGAAAAAATATCTAAATGATATTTTCTAATTACCAGTGGTTTCTTGAGGTTTCCGATCATGTGATGTTTTATGTCTTTTCAAACCAGGGAGGGTTTTGAATGTTCTTGGACATATATCACACGCATG